CGGGAACACAAACTTGCTTTTATTCAGAAAAAAAAAAAAAAAAAAAAAGAAAAAAAAAAAGAAAAGAAAAAGGGATTCACTGAGCTGCTGCGTTCCTGCCGAGCGGAGATGAGACGCTGCCGGGAGCCAAACCGCCGGCCGGCGGGAAAAGGGACCTTTATTGGGATGGGGAACGTCTCCCGGGTGACCTCTGCACAAAGCCAGCCCTGCTGCTGGCCAGGGGACGGGATGGGGACGGGGCCAGGCAGGGTGTCTGGTATCTCCCGGTGGGAGCACCCAGCTTATCGTGGGGCACCAACAGAGAAGCGCAGCGGGAAAACCCATCCAGGGTTCGTCCTCATGGAAATTAAGGGGGTAAAGCCCGGGGGTTTGGGGCAGCGTGATCCATGGGTGACGTTCTTGTGGCTGTGCCAGCACAGGTGCCCACCCTGTGCCCAGGGTGCTTTCGCAAAAGGTCCTTCATGGCTCTGCCTTCACCAGACCCCAGGGGAGGTTTCTCCTCTGCCAGCCCCGTGGCTCTGACCCTGCCGGAGCATCTTGAACCCCAGTTCAAGAAAGATGAGGAACTCCTGGAGAGAGTCCAGAGGAGAGCAACTAGGATGATAAAGGGACTGGAGCACCTCCCCTACAAGAAAGGGCTGAGAGAGTTGGGCTTGTTCAGCCTGAAGAAGAGAAGGCTGAGAGGGGACCTCAGCAATACAAACAAATATCTTAAGGATGGAAGTCACGAGGACGGAACCGGTCTCTTTACAGTGGTGTCCAGCACCAGGACAAGGGGCAATGGGTGCAAACTGAGACATAAGAGGTTTCAGTTGAGCATGAGGAAAACCTTCTTTACTCTGAGGGTGACAGAGCACTGGGACAGGCTGCCCAGGGGGGCTGTGGAGTCTCCTTCTCTGGAGATATTCAAAGCCCACCTGGATGCTGTCCTGTGTAACATGCTCTAGGAGAACCTGCTTGAGCAGGGGGGTTGGACTGGGTGATCTCCCGAGGTCCCTTCCAAACCTTGCGATTCTGTGATTCTCCTGGGCACAAGCCACCCAAGATCCCTCAAGCCAAGCATCCCACAAGGGAACCTCTGCTGGGAAGGGACAGCATCACCCACCCAGAGGCACCAAAACCAACAGGGAAACCTCTCAATTTGCTAGAAAAAGGAGCAAAAACGACTGGAGGAAGCGGGGGTTCCCAGCACAGGGCACCCAGCTCTTTGCCACCCCTGGCTGCCCCTCCCCAAGCACCCTGCAGCAGCCACGCATGTGTTCCTGCTCACTGCAGGGGGGTTGGACTAGATGACCTCTAGGGGTCCTTTGCAACCCCAAACGTTCTATGTTTCTATGATTCTATGCTCAGTCGGTTCATTCTGCAGTGTTTGGGTCCGGGCACGGCATTCCCAAGGCTCATCCAACCTCTGCTACCATCACACCAGCTCCCAAGTGGAGTCGGGGCAACCCCTGGGATCCATCCAGGGATGAGGGGATGGAGAGCAGCCCTGCCCAGAGGGACCTGGGGGTGCTGGGGGACGAAAAGCTGGGCATGAGCCGGCCAGGGGCGCTGGCAGCCCAGAAGCCAACCCTACCCTGGGCTGCAGCCCCAGCAGCAGGGCTGG